TAGTGATAACAACTGAATAACAAGAGTTGGTTAAGTCAAAATGGTTGGCCTGAGTCATTAATTCAACTGAAAATGTTAAAAGTTCACACATAAAATCCACATAATACAACGTTTGCATTTAAAAATCACCTAAGTTAACAGTCTCAAAAGGTGAAGCCAATCGTGATTGGGATTTTAAAGATGATTGCCTTTTGCTTGACACCATATGAGCTTTGGATTTTGATGAGGATCCATATTTTGGTAGAGGAAAAGATGATTTTGATGGCACTGGTGATCCACATGTCAACCTTGTATGACCACTTTCCTTGCACCGACTACATGTCGATCTCTTCTTCTCTTCACCCTTAGACGGTATACGATCGTGACTTTTTGGTCGGCCAGGTAGCCTTCTGTCCATGGCTGGTGGCAAAACTGTTTGTAAGTCATCTGGTATGTCCCACTCAGAAGGATGTGGAATAGGGTAGACAATCTCGGCATAAGTCTGTCGATAAACTTCTGTAGTGTAGCAATCCATAGCGTATGCGCTTGAATCATCTTGGTTTAAATGAAGAGAAACTTTTATAACATGGCCACACGGATAACCAGATGTTTGCCATTTCATACAACTACACGTCTTTGCATTTAGATCGACTAGCCCATTTAAGTTATTATCCAGTACTTGAAACAAAGTGTTTGAACATGGTTCAACTCTCCATGACGTTGACTTCACAACACGTTTCGTTATCTTTTTTTCAGTCCATGGTGTAACACGATGTTCCAATGTTCCTGTAAATTTAAATAAACAATACTTAGTAAAATATATAAATATGATAAGTTACGAATTCAAAGAAATAATACCTGCATGGTTTCTTTTCTTGTAGTACCACTGTTGAATAGAGGCTCGAAAAAACTCCATTAACATAGTAATGGGTAATTTCCGGGAATGACGACTTAGAGCGTTGATTGATTCTGCACTATTAGACGTCATGAAACCATATCTTGCTCCAAGTTGATGTACTCTTGACCATCTTTCAAACCCGACATCTTCTAGTGTTTGAGCACACTGAGGCAAAACACATCTTAAACAATTTATATGCTTATTGAAATCCACTTCCCGATAAGCTTTTACAGCCTTCCAGTATGTCCATTTGTGCTTTTTTATACCAGCAGACCTTGATTTTAGATTTCTATACAAATGAACACCACAAAGTCCATGAAAAGCATCTGGGAAACACCTTCTAACAGCGTTGTCAATTGAGTTTGCCCTATCGGATATGATTGTCAGATTGCTAATAGGACCTATGCAATCCCTAAGATGCCCCATAAACCATGTCCATGAATCAGAGGTTTCAGATTTGCCAACCCCGTAAGCTATTGGCAATATCCCATTGTTAGCATCCATGGCTACTGCTAATAAGTTTACTCCAAGGTATCGACCTTTCAAATGTGCTCCGTCAACTATAATAACTGGGCGCATGCAAGTAATAAACGAACGAATCTACAAAATAATATACACAAGAAATATAATCATTTAAATGTGAAATGCATGTAACTAACAAAAATGAGTCAACAAAATTATATTGATTTACTAACCGTAGCACCAATGGCGATAAACAGCAACTCAAAGCGTCCATCTCTATCTGTTTTGATATGAGTTACCGACCCAGGATTTTTCAGCTTTAAATTGTGACAATAAGCCGGCAGTTGGGCAAACGATGCTTCTGGCGACCCCCTCAACAATTCCAAGGCATAACATTTGGCTCTCCAAGCTTGAGAATATGATATACTAATCTTGAACCGAGCATTCATGTCAGTCATAATTTCATGTCCCCGATATACCCTGCCATTCAAAAACATTAACTCAGCCAGAAAACCACCCAACACCTTTTTGTTTGCCTGTCTATGGTGAGGAAAAACTTGGGTTCTTGAACATGTATGTTTATCAATAAAAGTCCTAACTTGAAACATTTTGCAATCTTTTATTCTCTTTGCAATCATACGCCACGTACAGTTTTTGTCAATCATACACCTTGTTTCGAAACGATCTTTGCTTGATTTGTTAACTTTTAGTTGATAGCCATCTTCCACACATTTCGTATATAAAGCTATCTTCAAGTCTTCCTTTGTATCAAAACAATCATCTTTCTTGATACGAATAACTTTTGTGTAACAATCAACTGCTTTCTTTATCAACTCTTCTTCCGGTATCTGAAGTAATTATGGCATATTCCAGTTATACGCCCGTGGCATTTTCTTTTCTTCGGGGACTTTTTCTTCTTCTTTTTCTTCTTCAGGATTATATGAATTACAGAATGGATGTTCAACATGTTCATTCACAGTCGTAACTTCCTCCTCATTATCATCAACATTACATTCTTCGGCAACGGCTGTTTCATCATCAAAATTCGGGTATTGACCAATATCAATATCATTACACGCATGGTCTGTTTCTTCTTCTGAAACATCATCAAAATCCGTGTATTGACCAATATCAAAGTCTGGATATTGACCAAGACCAAATTTCGAATACTGACTAGTACTCACAATTTTTTCTGTTGGCTCATCATCGTCTAACTGGTCAATACGAAAACCGGAATTTGGTGCTGAAAGTTGATTGGGATTTGGATTAGAGAAAGGTTGTGGGTTTTGAGAAAAACTTAGTTGATTACTACCCGCTACTGACCCAACAATACTACTTCTAGGTTCAACAACATACAATGTAACATCATCTTGTGAAACACTAATGTAAGCAATGAATGTTCAACATCTTCATTGTCGGTTAACAAATAAACTTTACCATTTCTCTGATAAGATAGCCTAAATCCACTTAGGGGCTCTAAATTCAATTTATTTGAAACACGTAGCATTAGAGTTTCATAAGTTAACTTTTGTAAAGACAATTTTAGTTGAAGATTCATGGGTAAAGGCATATATTGTAAAACACCATGAACATTATCCCATGACCCTCCAAAACACAAATCTATCCAAACATGATCAACATTAGATGATTTCATGGTTGTAAATTAATTTACTAAACAGACGAGCTGCGAAACTAAAACCTGTTGCCGGATTGGGAAGGATGTCGTTGGATATAGGAACGGATGTCGCCGGAGAGAGTGATAGATGGAGATGGAATGAGTTGCGATTTAGGGATTTAGTTTATGATTTCAGTGTTATATACCCAAAATTTCAGTGTTGTGATTTACAGATTCTCGTTGCGATTTACGGATTATCGTTGCGATTTACAGATTCTCGTTGCGATTTACGGATTATCGTTGCGATTTACGGATACGCGTTGCGATTTACGGATTATCGTTGCGATTTACGGATACGCGTTGCGATTTACGGATACGCATTGCGATTTACGGATACGCGTTGCGATTTACGGATACACGTTGCGGTTTACGGATACGCGTTGCGATTTACGGATACGCGTTGCGATATACGGATACGCATTGCGATATACGGATACGCATTGCGATTTACCCATACGCGTTGCGATTTACGGATACACGTTGCGATTTACGGATACGCGTTGCGATTTATGTGTTCGCGTTGCGATTTTCATATTCGCGTTGCGATTATGGAAAATCGCAATGCGAATTTGTACTATCGCATCGCGATTTTCAAGAATCGCGTTGCGATTTTGGAAACTGATTTGCGATTCTGGAAACTGATTTGCGATTCTGGGGATCGCGTTGCGATTTTTATTTCGCGTTGCGATTTTGTTGGTCATTTTGGCAAATCCAAAAAAAGTTGGTTAAAATCGTATATTATAACTTTTTTTTGGTCACTGAGGCGATTTTCTCAAATAAAAATGCTTAGCTGAGAAAGCACAAAATTGTGTACTTTGTGGACAGCAAAATGAAAAAAATAGGAAGCAAAGTCAGAGAAAGTATGAGTTTCATGTGGTTTCTGGATACTAACGACGGCAATTTTACTCATCACAAGCTGAAATCAAAAGCATGGATGTCGAATTCAATTTAATTTTCTGAAAATAGACTACCAGGAAAAGAATCTAAAGCAGGGGAAATAATGAAACGCAAAATAGGAGGCCCAAAATAGGAATCAAATGCAGCATTAGAAAAAAATTCAAGGAGAAATCTTACTGGGAAAACCACGAAATTAAATTCCTGGACAGAAACAAGGTTACGGGGAGAAGAAGATAAAATAAAGGAAATTTTAATGGGAGAAAATGGACAGAAGCAAGGTCAAGGAGAAAATGGAAACCAAGTAACATTACTATGAAAATAAAAGAAAGGGAGTGGAGAAAGAAATCTTACCAGGAGAAATCTTACTGGAAAACCACAAAATTTTATTCCTTCACATAGGCAAGGTCACGGAGAGAAGAAGATAAAAAGAGTATTTTAGCCCTTAAGCACGAGAATAAAAAAAAACCTATCTTACATGTAACATTCTCATTAATAAACACACAAAAACTTATTGTTGGTATTGAGATATTACCATTACTTCGAATCTTGCCCATCCAAACGTGGGTATCTTAATCAGGAAAAAAGTATTCCTCCCAGTAATACTAAAATCATTGATCCAAACGCCCCGAGTGAAATGTTGTCTCAACTGGGCCCTTATTTGAAAATTTGCGATAAAATAATGCCCTGAAACTTGATTATAAATTGTTCAAATAATGGCTCAGTAGAGATGTTTTTCCAATTTCAGTCGTTATTTGATTGCAAATTTTTAAATAAGGGCTCAGTTGAGTTAACATTTCACTTGGGGGCTAATTTGATTATCACCTAATTCAACAAGGGCCAATTTGTGAAATAAGCCAAAAATATTTTCATTTAAAAAAAACTACTCCGGGTGTCAGTACCTTTGCATCTTTTCTTTAATTCTCCTAATCATTTTTTAACTTTAGTATTCATCATGTTGAGCCCTTATAATTGTTGTTAGGCTCTGCACTGGAAGGTTTTGGTTCCTGTATAATTGCTGTATAGGTCCCATTGCTTTTACTTTTTAGCAATTTTGTTTCCTTTGTAATGTTCTGATTTATCTGATTTGAATTATATATCTCCATCTTTTGTCAGGCAACAATATTTCATTATGGTTCCATAAGTCTTATTACCGAACCATGCAAGTCAGCTCACATTGCTGCAGCAAAAGCTGCAAAGGATGCAGGTGTTGTTCTGTCCTATGATCCCAACCTTAGGCTTCCATTGTGGCCCTCTGCAGAGAGTGCCCGGAAAGAAATTATGAGCATTTGGGATACTGCCGATATTATCAAGGTAATGATCTTATAAAAGCAGTGCGATGCACAAAGTAAAAGGAAAGTACTGTATCTATATCGATGATCTCAATTAATGTGTGAATTTCAGGTAAACGAAGATGAGATTTCTTTCCTAACACAAGGAGAAGATCCATATGATGATGCTGTTGTTCGTAAGTTATTCCACCCAAATCTGAAATTGCTTTTAGTTACGGAGGGCCTGCATGGTTGCCGTTATTACACTCAGGTAAAATCTCTAGATGTGTTTCTATGGCATTTTTTCGTTTTCTACATGAATGTTATTTGGATGTTTGTATTCTTCAGAACAGTGATGGCTGGAATTGCCCCTTTAGATGAAAGATTGCAATAGGGTAAGTTTTGTCAGTTTGAGCCGACAAATGCTCTTCCCTAGGAGTAGGGCAGCCTAAACACAACCCCAATCCAAAGCTGATTTTACATTTTGAAAGCCAGCCTTAACCCCACCCAACCCTTTTCTTTTCACCCCATGGCCAAAAGTATCAACAAGGGTGGGTACGTAAATATTACTCCGAACATGCTTGGATATCTTTAGTCTGATGTTTCAGCGTCTTGGAGCTTTGAGCACAATGAAAATGAGTTTGATGATCAAGCCCTCTTCATCTGATAATTTATTATCTTGCAAAGATATTTTGTCATTTTGTTAAGAACCATGGTCTCAATTAGTACCTGTTCCAGCACTTTCCAGAATCTGTTATCTGAAGCTTAAAACGCAACAATAACCGTAATGAGAAATGGATCAAATTTTCTAGGAATTCAGTGGGAGAGTCAAGGGCTTGATGGTAGAAGCTGTCGACACCTCTGGTGCCGGGGATGCTTTTGTAGCTGGAACATTATCACAACTAGCTTCTGACCTGTCCTTGCTTCAGGTATTGCCCTCCTAAGTAGCAACACTAAAATTTAACCTGCTTATCCTAATGATCTTTTTTAATGTCTCTCTCTCTCAACCATTTGAACTCTGAATTTCCACCAGCAGTACCCATTTTTTGTCTTAGGTCAAGTCCAAATTCAGTAAATGTGGTACGAAATATTAAATCAAGTTGAAGGAAAATATTGAATCTTGCAGGATGAGGGTCGATTGAGGGACGCTCTATGGTTTTCTAATGTTTGCGGTGCATTGACCGTGACAGAAAGAGGTGCGATTCCTGCCTTGCCGACTAGAGAAGCTGTTATCGATGCTATTCCCAAAACTGTAGCATAAGTTTTTCTTCCCAGACTCATTAATTAAGGTGACTTCCAAGTTCCTATTGGCAACCGGGACTCGATCGGAATGAAGTTAATGAAACGATCCGCATTTGACCTACTAATATTCTACCGTCACCGTTACCTTCATCCGTGAACTTGTAGCTGTTCCGTTGTTGTGTATAATGGAAAGCCTCTTGATTTGTATTCTGTTTCCTAGTAGGAGTATTATATGCAACTTCAATTGGTTTAGTGAATGGATTCTGCTATCCGTTTTCGAGGATAGAGGAAATCCCTTGAATCTAAATATGGGTTTTGTTCAAGTTATTCGATTTCCATATGAACAATATCTGGATTTAACTCATTCACTGTTAAGTTTGAATATTCACACTCGAGCTTTAGTTCGATTATTTTGGGGGTGAGGACAACTTTAACTAATTCGCATAAATATTCAAAATAGGGTTGGATTCAGATATTCAAATCCACACTATAGTTTAGAATTGGATTCAAATACTCATCCACGACGTATTCATATAAATAAACACAGATTTTGATAATAAATATTTAAAATATACTTATCCAAAAAAAAAATATTTAAAATATCTATATTTATTTATTTTAAATATATAATAAAATAATAATTTTAACATTCGAAGTCACCCCAAAACGAATCGAGTATGTGAATAGCCAACAGTTGGATATCTTACTTTTACTGACTGGGTCTCTTGGTTAAAATTAATCCTTCCAGCTCCACAAAGTACATTCCCATAATTACCTAAGAACTACATATGTCTTGCCTTAATTTCAGTAAAACAGTTGGACGATTATTACAGTTGATCCGTTCATAATGCAACATCCTTGTTTCTTTTAAGAACACCCTCCAGTTTTACAACATGCCTTCGAAATTCAAGAGCTCCTTATTTGGAAAAAAAAAACCGAGGGTAGAAAATAAATGGATGATGAAGATAAGGCTATCTTCGATCGCATCTTCCAGCGTTTCGACAAGAATGGGGATGGCAAAATCTCCGCAACGGAGCTGGGAGAGGCGTTGCAGACACTCGGCAGCGTAACCGAGGAAGAAGTTACGTCGATGATGTCGGAGATCGACACCGATGGGGATGGCTACATTTCGTATAGGGAGTACATTGATTTTGCTGCTGCCAACCGTGGCCTCATGAAAGATCTGTCTAAAATATTCTAATTCGTTTAGCTTGTTGAGAGATTTTATTCTCCCAAGAGACTAAACTAACTGCACATCTTATTTCATTCTATTGATAGAACTTGTTGCTAGTCAAAATTGTGAACCGTCTATTTGTAATTTCTCGCATGGGTAGGCTTACTATTTCTAATGAATGAGCTACACATTTATAAATCCTTATTTTTAGACAATAAAATGTAAGCATTTATATTAATGTAACTTGTATGGTTCCTAATAAGATACAAATTGTGATGCGGAGCAATCTATATTTATTATGATGTTCATCTAAGAAGATTAATATTATTTTATTAAGATTATTGGATATTTAAGCTTTATTTTATTTATTATTATCGTAACCGTTTTTCGTCCGGGCACGAATTTTTACTTGGCGGGAAAAGTGATGTGAATAAATGGTTTTTTAAAATAATTTGGGAGTCGCCATCGGCCTTTTGGGTCAGGTAGGTCGAATACCTAAAAATCATCTTTTAAAAGAGTTTTTAAGAAAACATCGATTAAAAGATAAATTGATCTGCGTTTTAACCAAAAATTCGTTCTTTTTAATAAAAAGGGATTCGTGGTCGGTTACGTTTAGGGAAGGATCAGCACCCCTATAACGCCCAAAATTGATACTTTTTAATTAGAAATTGTCTCTATTATTAAAAATTTAAAAATTCAAAGTATATTTAATTTATAATCCTATTATTTCAAAATTATAACTATGAAAAAATATTAATTTATATATATTTATAAATAAAATATTTATTTATTTAGAAATATCAGAAAAGGACTTCTAGGTGCCTTAAGACAGCTCTTTTCTTTGATATTAATAAATAATTAATTATAAAATAGGATATTTAGTAAAAATATCAGAAAACGGACTTATATGTATTTTAAGACAGTCCTTTTCTTAAAAATAAATATATATTAAAATATGATTATTAAAAGTGATTTATGAAATATAGGATTTTAACAAATAAACAAATATTATTTATTATATATATATATATATATATATTTATATAAATAATAAAAATAATAATAATGAAATAATAATTAAAAAATAATAATAATAAAATAATATTGCAAATAATGATTAAAATAAAAGGAAATAAAAATATAGTATTTAAAAAAAATTAAAAATCATAGTCAAAAATAAAAATTAATGATTAAAATGTAAAATTATAAAACTAGAGTCCTAATTCGAAATATTATAAAACTTGAGTGCTAATAGTGTGATTTAACCTATATTAATTATTAGGGATTGAAATATTAAATATAAAAATATGAGGGACTTAATATGATATTTATCCTATATATATAAAATCGGTTAAGGACTAAAATACATATATGTGAAATTCGAAAACCGAATTAAAAGAATTTAAAAATTGATTTAGTGACTAAATTATAAAGTTACAAAAATGATGGACTGCGGATGGGGTTTACCCATATGTGAAATTACACAGATACCCTCACCAAAACGGCGTCGTTTTGATGAGGGTATTTATACCCATTTAAGCCGGCCCTCAAGGGCCATTATTTCATTTCTAGTTTTGCTTCTCGAGAGAGAAGCTCTCGTTTTCTCTCGCCAGAAGAGAAAATCGGCCTCCGTTTCCGGCGCCGATCGCCGCCGTCTCCGGTGGCCGGAGATTACCAAACTACACCAAATTAAAGATCTCAACTCCTAAAGGCCAAATCCAACCTCCTTTTACCCTAAATCCCCTTAGATCGACCTAGATCTAAGCTTTTTTACCTTCGGCTTTCGGCTTTCCGATGACGCGAGGAGGCTCCGATGACTATGGTTTCCTCAGTAAGTTTCTCTATTCTCTCTTCTTTTGATTTCTGTTGTCTACTGGTTGTTGTGGTTGCTCTCTGTATCTCTATGGCCGTTCTTCTTTCTTTCTTCGCAGGTATGGTGGCCATTTTTATAAGCCACCACGGTGATGGCTTTATAGTCATCTCGGTTGCTTGCTCGGACCGGTCCCAAATGGCGACCCTAGGTGAGTCACCATAGCTATGGTGGTGACTCACTATAGGGCTTCGATGTATGGAGGGCGTCGTGGCACTTCTGGAGTCTTCATTGAGGGTAGTGTGGCGTCGGCAGCGGTTAGAGCGACGTGGAGCGGGCTGAGGCACCAACATGGAGGGGTTGCTGTGTGGTAACTGAGGAGTCTGGAAGCTTGGAGCGGCGGCGTGGTCCCTAGGGTTATCATAACCCTAGGGTTTCTGTTTGGAGATTTATGGACCGTTGGATCTTGACAGATCCAACGGTGGAAAATCAAGGCGGCTGGAGAAGAAGATGGAACCCTAATCTATTTAGGGTTTCCAAACTTGGGCTGGTTCGGGTGAGCTTCTCTGATTTGGGCCTGGGTTCATGTAATCGGGTCTTTAAATTGGGCTCCGGGATTAATAATTGGGCCTGTAATAATAAATAAAATTATTTATTATTTAATAATAATATATCATAATAATAATAATAATAATAATAATATAAATAATAATCAAATGAAAAAAACTAGTGTCTTCAGCTGCCCCTCTTTGCTCATTCTTATGTTAACGAGAATAGAGCAAAGACGAAAAGACAATAAGTTTTTTTCATTTAATCTTCACTCGGAAATGTTGAACAAGTTCTTCTTTGGGATTGGTTCTTCTCATTATGAACTTTTCCACTGGGGATGACAATTTATCTTCTTCTATGATGTAATCTAGCAAAAAGTTGAACAAATCTTTCTCATTATGAACTTCTTCTTTTTCGGATGAGTTCTTCTCATTATGAACACTTCTGGAAATGTTGATGTTGATCTATCTGCTTCTGTGATAGAGTTAAACAAAAGGTTAAATAAGCTCTTCTCATTATGAACTTCTTCTTCCTCTTCAGATAAGTTCTTCTCATTATGAACTTTATCTGGAAAAGTTGATGCTGATCTATCTCCTTGTGTGATAGAGTCATGCAAAAGGTTGAACAAGCTCTTCTCATTATGAACTTCTTCTTTTTCAGATGAGTTCTTCTCATTATGAACACTTCTGGAAATGTTGATGTTGATCTATCTGCTTCTGTGATAGAGTTAAACAAAAGGTTAAATAAGCTCTTCTCATTATGAACTTCTTCTTCATCTTCAGATAAGTTCTTCTCATTATGAACTTTCTCTGGAAAAGTTGATGCTGATCTATCTCCTTCTGTGATAGAGTCATGCAAAAGGTTGAACAAGCTCTTCTCATTATGAACTTCTTCTTCCTCTTTAGATAAGTTCTTCTCATTATGAACTTTCTGGAAATGTTGATCCATCGATCAAACTAAAGTCGAACAAGTTCTTCTCATTATGAACTTCTTCTTTCTTCTTCAGATGAGTTCTTCTCATTATGAACTCTACCTGGCAATGTTGATCCATCGAGTGATGAATTCAAGCAAAAAGTTAAACAAGTTCTTCTCATTATGAACTTCTTCTTCCTTCTTCAGATGAGTTCTTCTCATTATGAACTCTACCTGGCAATGTTGATCCATCGAGTGATGAATTCAAGCAAAAAGTTAAACAAGTTCTTCTCATTATGAACTTCTTCTTCCTTCTTCAGATGAGTTCTTCTCATTTTGAACTCTTCTGGAAATGTTTTAAGAAAAAACATTCTGCACTGTAGGGCTTATAGTTGACCTGAAGGCTTTGAAAACATCAAAAAGCTCCTGAAGGCTTTTTGGAAACATCACGCACTGTAGGACTTACAGATGTGGGAAATAGTTTACTAAGTAAAAAAAAACTAAGGAAATCATTTTCTTACTTTTCAACAATTTCATTTTTAGAAAAGATTGAATGAGAAACTATGGAAATCGTTTTCTCATTATTTTTCAAAGTAACAACATCAAAAAGCTCCCGAAGGCTTTTTGGAAACATCATGCACTGTAGGACTTACAGATGTGGGAAATAGTTTACTAAGTAAAAAAACTAAGGAAATCGTTTTCTTACTTTTCAACAATTTCATTTTAGAAAAGATAAAATGAGAAACTATGGAAATCGTTTTCTCATTATTTTTCAAAATAACATGTTGATTGGGTAAAATGCCCCAATCTCAAGATAATGCTTACTTTTGTGGATTGCATCCATCTCTTCTTCAGATGTTTGCATGATTCCTGTATTTACGGTTTTGAATACCGTCTTCTTGTAAGGTATTTCTTACCATGAATTTTCTTGTTCTTCCGAAGATCTGTAAAACTTCATGTTTGAATACACTCAAATGTATCAATGTGATGCATTGTCTATTGTGTAAATGATATTCTTATGAATGCATGAATGTTGATGCAATCTTCATTCGACTTCAAAGTGGTGAACTTGGTCTTCCTTCACTTCATCCTTTATTGCCAGGGTTACCTCTGGATATCAGTGTAGATACTTATGCTATCAAGCTTTCATTTCTGCAGAATCATCTGATTAACTTGTATATCGGCGTCTTCTTAACTTCATTTAAGTCTCAGAAGAAATGTTTCATTTGTGGAACTCTTGCTGTAGTCAAAATTATGACCCTGATGCACTATTTTGTCTTGGATAAAACCAACTTTCTTTACTTGGACTTGTGTAAAAATCCAATAAAGCTTTCATCTTTGAAAAGAGAATCTATCATCTTTAAAAAGAGAATCTATCATCTTTGAAGAGTGTAGATGTAGATATGCCTAACTCAGCGGGGATTAATTAGGGGAGTAGAGTCTGTTCTGATTTGACTTTTGAAACACATCATAAGGAGAATTTATCTCAATTCATTTCATGTCCCCATATTATCAAATCTCGAATAAGGCAACTTGGACCATATAATGTCTAGATGCTTAACCACAACCTGTCGTTCAACTAGTTTCTTGTGGTTAAAATTTTAGCTCTCCTTCTGTGGAAAGAAATCTTCATCATATCTCATCTTATAATCTTGAAGTTGAAGAAGACAAACTTCATCTTGGATCAAAAATGGAAACCATATGATCACAACATTGGTTCAACATCAGAATAACTGGTTCGTAAAACATTTGACAACACATTCTTCATCTCATGT